AGTCCAAACATAATAATGCAAAGTCCAGAGCACACAAAGAACATGACAAAAGAAGCAAGCAAACAAACAAACAAACAAAGAATCATGCTTCTTGAATGTTGTAAAGCATATTGGAAAACTAAGTGAGGGAGTTGATGATAGCATCTGGCTAATAAAGATGACAAAGCTGAGAAGTTCAACAGTTTGCAAGATAACGCTCTTGAGTAATCGTGGTGATTGCAGCGAATGCTGATCTGGGAAATATGTGGAGTGGCCAAGTGCCAGCAGACTAACCGGAGAAGAACCTGTTCCTCTCACGGTTCTGTCAGCACCCAACGATCTCTCTCCCTTCAACACCATAAAAAGGTTTAATGTTTCAGCGGACACTTAAGAGCCAAACCAACATTTTTTTTTCTCCCAGAAAACAAAGAGCATGCAATTATAGGAGGGAACAATGAAGTACAGTCATGATTAGGAAAAAAAAGAAAGAAAAAAGAAAGAGTAAATCCTCTTTTTTTCTAGGTTGCTACATATCAGGATGTAATGAAAATCCAATCTGAAGCGAACAAAAACACTGGGGAAAAAAAAGTCATTCAATAACAATTAACCTATAATGGAATCACTGTGTGTGCAAAAAAAAAAAACTAACGTACACCCCATGATTCAGCAGCCTGTAGAGGCATTTATCCAGCTTCTTGGATTTTTTTTACAATTTCTCTTAGAACTGCTCAATCTGAAATTTGCTAAAACATCCATCTGGGAGTAGTGACAAGTGTCAGTGTTTATCATTTTTAAATAACATTTTCAGTTTAAAAACAAAATGGACAACTGTGTGTCCTTCCTAGTTGAAGGCCAGCAAGAGTTGTTCTACAAGATCCTTACTGGTGCCTTTACACTTCGTCAACGTGAATGTGGTCTAGGGTTGGTAGTTCTTACTGATGGACAGAAAATTTAGTGTGTTTAATTTGCAGTATCATTAATTTTTCATCCTTTTAATAGCAGTACTCCCACAGCATGATGGTGCTACAAATTTGAGTTACATAAGGGTGCGGCATTCACAAAGCTTCTGCCTCACAAAGTACTTTACATGCAAGCTGAAAAGTTAAGTTTACGCACATCACTCTTCAGGCTTTTACTTATAAAAACTTTTGCAAACGATGCACCGCTTTCCTTCTTCACAATCACGTTCTATATGAGCAAGTCTCTCACATTAAATCCTGTTAAAATGTGTTGAACTGTTTGGCTGTGATCTGACAAAATGTGCTAAATGTTTTTGCAAGACACCAGATCTTGCACAATTTTCCTGCTTAAATTCATGTTTGATGTCACTTCCTACTATATAAGAAGTTACGGAATTTTACTATAATCAAAATGATTGTTACATTATTATTAAGTAAACCTGGATTCCCACAGAGAGGGTGTAGGTTGGACTTCTAACCAGCGTTGATTATTTTTTGGCTATTGCAGGATTTTTTTTTATTTTATTTTATTTATTTATTTATTTTGGAGTAAACTTTCCCTGAATTATTCATAGCACATTTATGCTTTTCATGTCATTCAAACAAAAAGAAAGATGAAGCTTCCTCCACATGTAGAGTGCATCACATTTGATTGTAGGTTTTTAATGTAAACACAGCACCTTCAAACATAAAAAAAAAAAAAAAAAAAAAAAAAGTGGCAGCCCCGCCCGGGCCCCCCTCACCTTTTTGGAAAACTTAACAC